GTTGCTTTTTGATTAACATCTAAGGGTGACCTCTATGAATATATTAATTTGTAGTGCGTAGTATTGTGCTACAGTTTCTATTATTGTCGGTATTAATTGTCCAACTTAGTCTGACAGTTACAAGCCGGGTTAATGGCGCTCAGTGGAAACAGAGGTTATTTACTCCATTGTTGTGTTGTTTTAGGATAGATCGCTCGCGACCCGAATATTTCTGAGTATATTAACTTCATCTTCTGAATGACCGAATGAAGTTGTGAGTGAATGAACGATTGATAGACGAACATGTAGGGAATTGAAATTCGAATAGATTTCGCCCTCGTCTTCGTCTGCTGTATTTCTTCCAGGCTTGCTCTACATCTATGCTATATTTTATCGAGATCCATTCAGCCGTTTAGGTGGTAAACTAATGAACATCCATCCATCTAAATAAGATTAAAAACCTTTTGTTGTAATATAGTTCTAAGAAAAGTAACATTTTTGTCGCTACACAAGAGTAGGCATTTGGTCAAATTTCATATAGGAATAATGCGAAGGAAATAACGTATTTTATTATTGTAAAAGTTATCGCAAACTGTTGCAAATATTACAGATTTTAAATATAAAAACATATCTTTATACGTTTCAGAAATCAAATACTTTCTTTGACGCTTACGAAATAAAAATCGACGGCATTAAATTCAAAAAGCAAGTCGTCTCGGAATAAGGGTTCGGGGAAAATCACAAAAACATGTATATTCCTATTTGTATTCCCTCATTGATAAGTCGTTTTATTATTTTCTTTTCGTAACGTGTGGGGGAATAATCCCTCTGTAGATAAATGTATGGCGATTATTATCACAACACAATATGTTTGGTAATATCTAAATTTATCAAGATTTTTACTATAGGTTTTGGTTTTACAAGTATACTTAGAGTGTGGTGTGTACTTGTTAAAAATCATACTTAAATTATTTCAGTCCTAGTTTAAATTAAAAATTTCGGGTTAGGAAAATGTGCCATTAGACTGATGTTACCAGCTTTCGCTCGTGACCTCGTCGGCGTGAAATGATAAAAAAAAACAAAAGAGAGTAACCTATGTGTTCTTCCAGACTATCCTCTACATCTGTACCAAATTTCATCCAGATCCGTTCAACAGTTTAGGTTACAAACTCCAACAAACTTCCATCTAAACTTTCGCATTTATAATATTAGTAAGAGTTATTACTCAATAAATAAGGTCATTGACCTATTGACATGTTTGCGTAAATTACAAAAAGACACAAAAATATAATGCCTATTGTAGCATACATTCAAAGCTACAGCTAACTAGCTATTTAAGCAGCTATTCGTCTTTAATTAATCTTGACAACGGCTTTGTGGTGGATTGGAACATCATTTATCAAAACCTGGTGCGGGAGGTTTAAAAACGCACCGACACTGACAACTGTATACGTCATACGTCATACGTCGTCACAATACTGAACATGAGTGACAATGATAAGCACGCATAAGTACAATCAGGGAATCTGTTAGTGCGTGACCTTTAAAGCTACAGTCCTTTAAAGGTCACGCAAAATTTTGTACGCGTTGAGACGTTAACGAGGAACAATAAATGACAGGACCTAGCGTTTATTGTCTGTACAATTATTCAATCTTTTACCCAACTGTATTTGATTTTCAGTTGAACTGTACAGTTAAACACGCACAATTTTATAATATATCGACTGATCAGTTAAAACTGTCAATTTAAACTGAGCCCATGTAACGGACTTTAAAAGCCGATAACGCAGTACCCAGATTAAGTCAAACTATACTACGATTGCTTACAAGCTCTGCCCTGCTAATGTCCATATACGTATTTTTTCCCTTTCTAACGTTCTTCTAAACATTGAAAATTCTTTAGAAGTCTACCGTACTCGGAGTGACTAAGTGACCATTAAGCGATTCCCTTAATGTTAGGTAAGACATGTCTGCACTTAAGGGTTGTTTACGTAAGTGTTACATAAGTGAATGTAATAGAACTAATTTCTTCGCATGTTCATATTAAGTGATAAAATAAGTAAGGCGATTGTGGCGCCCCCATATCAGGTTTTCTATTTTCCTTATTAGGGAACTAGTGTTTTTTTTAAATAAGGACATTTACATATTTAACAAAATATTTTATTCTTTAAAAAAGGTTTTTGTATCAAAAATGGTATTGAAATTTCTGATTTATTAATACGAGTGGATATTTCTACGGACATTTTATAATAAAAGCGCAGAAAGGGTTTCAATTATTTGCCTACGGTACCTACCGATGGCGGCCGTCTGCGGGAATCGAACCCGGCGCACAATACACACATCTAAATAAATAACGTGCTCCCAACATCGATCTTCGTACAAAATATATTTCCTTCGTGAACCACGTCCGAGGAAAATGGAGCAGAAAGCCGTTCAATGTGCTAGTAAACGATAATGTATTCCTTTTTCAAAAATTTAAAAATATAGTCCCTGCTCATTTTATATTTCTCCAGTGTTATTTAAACGCGTAACTGTAGTAATGTATACTGGGTAAATAGACAACCTCATTGGTACATGGCGAGATTCGAACCAAAGGCCTGAAGACTGCAATCACTGAGCCACCGACTCACAAACCCACGGTTACTACATAACTAAATGTTAATGCTTTCTGAATTTTAGAAAATAATAATATTCATTATTGCTCACCTGGATTATTAAATCATCAAAATTTTCACTTCACAATATTTTCAATTAATTGCCAAATTAATTCACTTCCCAAAAGATAAATCCACTTCGCTGATTCAACAAAGAAGTCACCAAAATCTCTCTGAATACTTCAAGTCGCGACAATGACCGGGCGAACTAATAATTAATTCAAAAGTTGTTGAAATTTCCTTCGCGATGGGGCCACGAAACAAGCGTTGTCAACTCACTGAAGTCAGAGGCAATCTTACAAGGCTTATCTTAAGTTTAGATGGACGGATGGATGGATGTTTGTAGCCTGTAAGGCTGAATGAATGTGGTTGAAATTTAGCATGTAGAATACTGTATTATGTGCTATACTATGTATAGGCTACTTACTGTTTTTTTTTTATTTTACTAATACGGAATCGTGGGCAAAACCTAGTAAGTTCATTGTTTTAGGTAGCAACACAGATATTAAACAATCTCGTACTAACTTTTTTAAGTAAAGTTAAAATAAATAGCATCTTAATTTGTAAAAGGATACAATAACTTTAAAATAAAACTGATCACTCATTCTTACACTTAAAGTCCAAGCTCTCTAAGTTACTGGCCCCGCAGTAAAATCCGAACCAGGTTTGAAATAAAACAATCCAATTGAAAAACGCCCCCAATAGAATAATACCCTCGTAATTATTAAATTGAAAACCATGTTCCCTCCTCACAATTGAATATAGAGGGTTGACAGAATGGAAAACTTCGACAGCGGTAATATAAGCCTATACCGGTGGTTAGTGCCGAAGAGAATCTTTGTTCAACCCTATTAAAAACGATAAAAAAAGCATTGAAAAACCAATTAAGATGAATATTACCTGTGTTAAATACATAGTATGTAGTTATACGATTTTAAAAAAACGTAGACCATTTATTAAACTACAACTATCGCCATCTAGCGGTCAGACTGATAACATACTTTGGTATTTTTCAAACAAGCTGAGAATCATCAACAGATTAAAATTGAAAGTGACATCATGTGTATTCTGCTGTCCGCTGGCCGATGTTACCTAATCTCTATAATTTATTAAAAAAGAATATAGGAATCAAACATATTGAATAATTTGTGCTCATACTACTGAACTATATTATATCATACTAATATCATAAATGCGAAAATTTGGATGGATGTTTGTTAGAGTTTGTAGCCTAAACGTCTGGATGGATTTCGATGAAATTTAGTATAGATGTAGAGGATAGTCTGGAAGAACATAGGCTACTTCATTTTTGTTTTTTTTTTAATTCCATGCGGACGGAGTCGCAGGCAATAGCTAGTATAATAATAATCATTACATTATTATACAACTAGCTTTGGCCCGCGAATACGTCTGCGTGGAATTAAAAAAAAACAAAAGTGAGTAGCATGTTTGTTCTTCCAGACGATTCTCAAAATTTCGTCGAAATCGGTTCAGCCGTTTAGGCTACAAACTCTAATAAACATCTATCCATCTAAACTTTCGCATTTATATTATTAATAACATTAACGTAATCCACAAAAGAGTTTTCCAGCTTCATTAATATTCTTATTTCTCTATCAAATTCTGTTACTTGATGTAATTCCAAATCTCCATCCACGTTTTAGTTTATCAAGTTTGAATTAAATAAATATATCTATTCACCCCTTTTGTTGAAGAACTCTTACCTCACTAAAAGCATTAACACATTTTTTATTTTGCTAATAAACCTAATTGCTGTCTTGTATTTTTTTCCGCTTGTAAAAGATTTCAACGACAACCAGACTTAAGATAACTTGAACTGCACTTTAGAGTAATGATAGTACAAAAATTGTATAACATCTTGTTACGTCTTAAATAATAATTACTTAAAATGTACAAAAGATGAAATAAGCTGATATTAATAAAATCTTGTAACAACAATTTCCTAATATCAAATTTTCAAAATTCAATAATTCTACCTTTATAAATAAAACTAGCATTAACTTTTAATATTACTAGATAGCCAGCGTAGATTTCTAGTTCAATAAATCATAAACTTTCTAACATTTTAAACTGCTTCATTTTGTTCATAAAAGATCATTATAAACTAAATTTCTTTTAACTATATAAAGCTAATTTTTATTTAGTGTTGTTGAAATTTAATCAAGTAAGAAATCAATTTTAATTTCTTCAACACTCCCCCATGTTTAAATAAAGTTATTACGAAATGTTAAACATATTACAAAACGGTAGCGAAGTAATTAAACGCTGACTTACCTGCTGAAAGGATATCCTTCAAAGAAAACAAAGTAGTAAAATAAAAACAATTAAGTTTATTTGTATGGCGTTAACAAAGTATTTTTTAATCTCAAATTCTATAATACATCGTTGGTAATGACATCGATTCCGAATTAATAACTAATATTTACAATTGTGACGAGCTGGAAAACTTACAAGTAACAGACAATTTACATTTGACGCGTCCACAGCGGACATCAATAAATAAAGTTACGTGATCGGAGTAGAGGCTCTGCTACCGCGATCTAACAATCAAACTTAACAAAACATACGATACATAGGACACGAACAAAACAATCAGAAATACACAGCGACACGACTTAACTACTCGGCTAAATACAGTGACCTAACGGAACATAATCTCTTTTTGGTAGCAATCTCACTTCACATAGCTGATCGAAGGAATCTACAACTAAACTAATTCGAGAAACGCATCGAATATTCAAAGGAAAATCACAGTTTGCAAACGAATCGATTCACCCATCTAGCGGGCCCATCTATAGTCTATTCCGACATTATTTACAAGCCGCTCGCCTCGCGGCCGCACTTCGTACGATTCTCGACTAACGATTAATCTAAAAATCAATAAATAAGGTTCGCAAAACGTTCATCACCATCCACGAGCACTGAGTCTTTGCCGCACCTCAAGGCAGAGCGCCTCAAGGCAGGCAGGTCGGCCTTCAATATATGACGGAGACGGGCCGCCGCAGCTGGTCGTCGTGTGGGCTGTGCTGTGGGCCGGCGGGTGACACGGGTGAAGCGGGCGCCGCGCCATACTGGTGGAACAGCGGCGACGGGAAGGGTTTAGGCGGCGCTGCCGGCGATGTGTACAGCGACGAGTAGAAAGACGACACCACGGCCGCGGCAGAAGATGCCGTCGGTAACTTATCCGCCGTCGGCGCCATCAGTTTTGAGAACTGCAGGTGGTCCAGCTGGTGCGGGAAGTAGGGCGGCACGGTGGGGTACGGGAGCGCGTCCAGATGTCCTACTCCCGGCGCAGGACCCGCGAAGTAAGGCAGCGGGAAGCTCGGGAATGCGCCGGCGCCCGGTGCACCGCCCGCCGTCGGCGGTTTGGGCTTGCGGCGCGGTCGGTACTTGTAATCGGGGTGCTCCTTCATGTGCAGAGCGCGCAGCCGCTTGGCTTCGTCTATGAAGGGGCGTTTCTGCATCTCCGTTAGCAACTTCCATTCGGCGCCGAGCCGTTTTGATATCTCCGAGTTGTGCATCTTGGGGTTATCCTTGGCGATCTGGCGGCGCTGCAGACGAGACCACACCATGAATGCGTTCATCGGCCGTTTGATGTGGCCCTCGGACTGCGGGCTGGAAGCCGGCAGCGGCTGCGGCGCGCTCGGGTACTCCGGCAGCATACCCGGGTGCATCGAGAACGCGTACGGGTGATGGCTTAGTGTCGACATGTTTATCGTATTGAACAGAATTGTAAAGCTCCGTTAAGGCATTAACTAAATAATACAGTGATAGAGCGCGGGGGGAGCGATCGTGTCGCTGCGAGGTCGGTCGGTGGACTGACGGGTATCGGCGGCGCGAGCGTGGGCCTCGGTCGGCCGGGGCGGCGCGGGGCGCGGCGGGGCGCGGCCGGGGCGGCGTGGCGTGGGCCAATGGGGGGCGCGCCAGTCGAGCCTTCGCCCCTCCCCGCGGTATCATCCGTCTCTGTCGCTCGCATGCTGCATCCCGCTCGCTCGCCGGCCAGCTGTCGGGGCTCGCCGCGCGCTCGTAGCCTCACAACGAGCTATATTTCTTGTAATAGTTTTGCTTTGTGATAAATTATGTTAAGATCTCTCACTTTTATTGTTTCCTACGTAAGAATTCTCATAATTTCATAATATGTAGCCAAACTATTTTAACATTTCAACAACTGGTGTTTATTATAGAAATTGTACCAATTGTAAAAATTTTAATAGATATAGTCAGACAGGAGGAGTTGTGCAAGAAATACATAATTGCAAGTTAAATTGACTAACTACAATTGTTGCTTGAAATTGTTACGTATAAACGGTTATAACATAAATCTTTTTGGTAACATTGTAGGAACAGATCTAAAACTTTAAGTCAGTATCAATATGTTAGTTGTAACTTATAAAATTGAAATAAGTTTCACAGACAATTCACTAGAAAGTAGTTTCGTTTGTAAGCAATAAAATATACGCATGTCTAATATGGCTACATATAAGTTTTATAAGAAATCTTATTACAATAAAATTATAAATGTTGCAAAAACATTATAAAATCGATTTTTTTACCTTACTGCAATTGGAATTTTACTTAGCAAAAGCTTCTTACGACTATTACAGCTTGCTTTAACTAGTAGCGCCATCTAGTACATATTGTTAACAACCTACAATAATATTGATCACTACAGTTACATTTAAAAGAAAAGCAATGATATTTAAAAAATCTACCTCTAAAATTAATTCTGAAATCGAATTATTGATAAACATTATTCTGTTGTACAAAAAAATATACAGACGATTTGTGTCTTCTTTTGGGAAGTCGGTCAAAAATTAGACACGCGTCAGCCGCGTTCAGTCAAACTATCCTAACAGAACGGGACATCATAAACATAACTACAATACTAGTTATAAGAGATTAATTAACAAACAATACTATACAAAGCTTTTACAGCGGTCGTCGACACCATTGTTTATTTTTCGAAATAGTTTGCGGCGCGTCACAATGCGCTTTAGTAACGGGATGACCGCCATAAAAATATTAAAAACAATCATAAAGTACCTTATCCATTATGCTTTATTTATAAAACTACAAACGTCTTAGGAAATACTAAACGATTTGCGAATCACAACTCTATGTTCTATTATATAATGTTTAAATTTGTTTAATAGTGTTATTCCGCAGCGTCCCGTCTCTTTGTCCCATTGTCTCCATAAACATCTTTTCTTAGAAACGAAACAGCTTTTAAACAGTATAATAAAATAATTATTTCTCTTTCCAGAGTGCTATATTTCTTGTTAATGTTTTATTGCGAGTTTGTTTGCTGTTATGGACGCTATTGTCTATGGATTTTATTGCATTTTGATAGTTTAAAAATAATTTCATTTGCGCGCGCTCTATTGTCGCGACCGAAGGTTTAAAACTATAACCGAGGTTTAAAAAAGGAACGTGTCCGAACACAATGCTTGTAAAAGGTGCTAAAAATATTTGTTATGTAGTAAAAATAACAAGCAAATTACTTAAAAATTATAGACATTTGTAAGTGACAAACGTTCTGTTATTTCTGAAAATATATTTTTGCAATCTTAATTATCTCAGAAATATGGAGGTTTAAATGGATGTTTGGTTGTTTTCCCTAACGGCTGAACTAGTTTAGATGAAATTTGTCAGTTCTGAGTAAGAATTAGGAGGAGGAGAGTAAGAATTAGGAATTATGAGTAGAAAATAGGGTAATGACTTTTGTTTTTTTTTTTTTTAATTTGACTCGGACGGAATCGCGGGCGAAAGCTAATGAGAACATACAGTTAGTAGTAAAGATGAAAAGTTGAGATAAATATAGAAAGATCACAAAATAGGTCATTTGTAGGTACTCTACCCCTCCCACTAGATGGACACGTGATTCGACTCCGATAAGACTAGACTAGACTAGACTGAAATATGCAAGGTTCGGCTTTCATCAACTGTGATCAAATAATATTTATGGAAGTGACTAACGCCATCTATTGACTAAAAAACGATAACTTAAAAGTTATATTACATTTCATTGAAAATTATTTATTTATAGTTGTTATTATTTTTTACATGACATATAGAAAAAATACGCTAATTAAAAAATACCTAAAAATAAATGAAAAAAAAAACGTCTCATAGAAAAATAGAAATGCACACGAAAGCACTGCCATCATTTTGTTTTCTTCGCAACGAGACAAAAGAAATAATAACTATGAAGCCTAACTAGTATATAAAATGCAGTATTTTTAAAGGCCATGAAAAGAAAGTCGCACCTAATTACTTACTTCGCGACCCCAACAATGCAGCCAGGGTCTCTCGCCGCAACAATATGACCCGCCACTAATGTGCAGCTCTCTCGCTCGCACCACTTAACGTGCGAGCGGGATAGCATAATGAAAAGCTAGTTAGTTTTTCATCCAGCTGGCAATGAGGACAATACCGCGCGCAGCCTTATTCGCCCTATCTTCCTATTTTAATTTACTCAAATTTCCCTTGACACCTCACCCGACATACCATTAAGGAATTCTATGTGGCCAGTTACAAAATTCATAAAAAGTTAACGTCGGTTTAATGCAAGTTATTGCATTGACTTTTTAATATGGCAAAAAACACAAGTTTTCTAACCATTCTGCCAGATTATTTTTTTTTTATATTTATTCTGTGCTTCAGTAAGGTTAAAAAATTAACGAATCAATACTTAATTACTAGATAACGTAACTACGACAAAAAACTACGATTTATCATACTTCATACTGATATTACAAATGCGTAAGTTTAGATAGATGGATGTTTGTTTGTTAGAGTTTGTAGCCTAAACGGCTGAACAGATTTCGATGAAATTTGGTATAGATGTAGAGGATAGTCTAGAGGAACACATAGGCTACTCACTTTTTTTTTTTAGTTTCACGCGGACGTAGTCGCGGGCGAAAGCTAGTAGATTAATAATTGCAATAGATATATTTGAAAAAATTGAAATTAGAAATTTCATATTTCTACTGTCGATTTATTCGGGAAAAAAATCATGTAGTTGTTTACAAATTTAAATAAGTTTTACATATTTTACACCACACATTCAGTTTAATCAAGGTTTAAGAGTGTTCTGTGCAGTGCGACCGGGCCTGCCGCCGCGCGAGGCGGGCGTTTCCATTATTTTTCATCAGAATGCACCACGTTAATGGTCTCCAATGATAATTCGCATTGTGCCGGGAGCAGTCGGGTAGGGCAATCTCCATAATGTACGCATTGTGCCCAAACAGATTCATACTTATGGATTTTTTTAATGACATTATCCAATTAATTCAATTACTCCATGTCTCGATATAGTAACTATATTTTTCGCGCGTTTGTATTTTTTACAATTTTCCACATCGATGCGTTTCCAAAATGATCGGAAATTTTGCTTATTTACATGTTCATGTAATTAAAATTTATCTCGATGTTCGATGAACTCGATGCTCTATCTCGATCTACATAATATCGTAGTTATCTTTTTAAAAAATCGGTTTTACATTTCGTTTTTTATTAACATTTTCCTATACTTTCTTGGGAGAATCTCAATATTCAAGATGTGTTTGACAATTAGTTTGTTAATTTTTAAATTTGTATAATATCTACATCGTATATTTTAATTACTTCTAACTTAAGAAACAATAGACACAAATTAGTACTAAGCAAAAACGCGTGGCAAATGCATAAACCATTGCAAACTATATTTCTAAACTACCTCATATTATTGTAAACAAAATGTCGCCCCCATCGGCGTATTGTTTCCTTTCTGTTATAAAACAAAAGAGAACAAATCATACAATACATTGAATAGAATTATCTCTGTCGCCTCGTGCGTTGGCAAAGAAAAAAAACATAAATAAAAGACGCTCGAAACCGCAATAAACATATTACAAAGACAACGGTCCGTCTGTTACCGTTCGTTTTAAATACAAAAACAATAGAAGTTAGTGTTTTTTTTTTTTATAACCGTCTAATATCGGTGTACTGTCCACAGATGACCGTTATTTTCTCAGAATATTATGTCTTACTTATTACATTAATAAATGCAAAGTTTAGATGGATGGATGTTTGTTAGTTTCGCCTAAACTACTGAACGGATCTCGGTGCAATTTAGTATAGATGTAGAGAATAGTTTGGAAAAACATAGGGTACTTGCTTTTTTAATTCCAGGAGGAAGACGCACGCGATATCTAGTATGTTCATGTATTACTAAAAAATGCAGTGGTTTATCAACTTTATTGAGTTCCTTATTTCATATTGTTTCTAACACTGACCTTTTTGTTGTTTATAACGCATTTTAAATCGCATAGCGCCCTCTATTGGCAACAAGTGCACAACGATTAATCCAAGGCTTACAGAGCCCAATAACGTGCAAAACTACTCAGTAATTTAAAATAGGAAAGAAAATTCTAGAGAAATTGTTTTCTCGAATGTTTAAGATTGTTAGAATAGCATCTATCTTATTATAACTCGTCTAACGAAACAGAAAAAATATGACGTAACTGATGTTTACAAAATCATGTATAGTAGAACTAGCGAGCCGCCCCGTTGCCAAATGTTTATGCAAAATTTGAGAAAAATGTAGTATAGGGGTTCAGAAATACGCTGTTTATTAAAGTTTAATAATCTAAAATTATAATAAATCATAGCCTACGGTGGTCACTGATAAAATAGTTTTCCAATCGCGAAAGAATTTTTAAAATCGGCTCAACGTTAGGAGTCTAACGTAAAGTAAATAAATAAATCTTTTTTCTGTATATGCTAAAAGTCGTAGATACAGTGGAGAGCGTCAATATG